CCAGTAACATTAAAAAATAGTGTACAATATCATTTCACTTATTGTTTAATTTATTTAACTACATCTAATGATTTTATTTTACTTTTTTTTACATTATCATTCAAGGACATAAATTTTATTGTTATCTATCATGAAAGTTAAATGCCAATTTAATTTCATGTATTGAATTTTTTCAATCTTCCATTTATTTATACATTCATAAACATTTGTTTATAACACGATATCCCCTAAAATTGTATTTTGAAATTTTGGTACCACATAAATTGTGTCTTTAAGAATGTTTAGCACGTATATGGGAAGTGGGTCCACTTGACCAATGGCATGTGACATATTTAGCACTTAATTAGTGAGACCCACTCATACCACATTATATCAGGGACCTACTCAAATTATTGCATGTGTTTTGTATTGAGATTATTAAAATCGTGACATGTATTGGGGTTCTTGAAACAATGTTTTATAGTTGTGTGCCTCACTCAACCCGTATTTTGCCAGGAGATCCACTCCAATCGTATTTTGTATTGAGATTCTTAAAATCATGCTTTGTAGTGGTGAGCCATACTCAAACAGTGATTTGCCAAGGGACCACTCAAATTGTATTTTTTATTGGGATTCTTGAGTCGTGACTTGTAGTAGGTTTTTCAAACTGTGTTTTGTTGCTGTGGGCCCCACTCAACCTATGGTCTGCCAATAGATCCAATTAAATCATGTTTTGTATTGTGTTACTTAAAATCATGCTTTGTAGTGGTGGGCCCCACTCAAATAAGATTTTGCTAGGGGACGTACTCAAATCATGTTTTGTATTAAGATTTTTAAAATCGTGACTTGTAGCGGGGTCCTTCAAACCGTTTTTTGTAGTTGTGGGCCCCACTTAACCGTTGATTTGCAAAGAGATCCACTCAAATCTTGTTTCGTATTTAGATTCTTAAAATTATTCTTTGTAGTGGTGGGCCCCACTCCTACGGCGTTTTGCCAAGGGACCCACTCAAATCATGTTTTGTATTGAAATTCTTAAATTCATACTTTGTAGTTGTGGGCCCCACTATAATGACATTTTTCCAGGGGACCCACTCAAATCGTGTTTTGTATTGGTATTTATAAAATCTTGCTTTGTAGCGGTGGGCCTCACTAGCTCAAATGATGTTTTGCCAGGGACCCACAAAAAACATGTTTTGTATTGAGATTCGTAAAGTCGTACCCCGTAGTGATGGCCCCACTCAATACGCGTTTTGCCTCTGAACCCACTCAAATATATACCCTTATATCGCGTTTTGTGAAATGTATTTTTATTTTGAGTAAATACCCAAAATGGTCCCTCGACTATAGCTAAATTCACAAATTAGTCCTCAACTTTCAATTTCACCTAATTAAGTCCCTAATTTTGCAATTTTGACACGATTTGGTCCTCTATCTAATTGATCATTTGTTGACCGTGATCGACGATCTCCAGAAGAACCTTCAGCTCTCGTCGGAGCACGTGGAGGCCTCTAGGATCCCGTTGCACCGGTTCGGAAACACGTCGTCTTCTTCGCTCTGGTACGAATTCAACTACATTGAATCCAAAGGGAGGATGAAGAAGGTGACCGGGTTTGGTAGATTGCTTTCGACAGTGAATTCAAATGTAACAGTGCGGTCTGAAAATGCAACCGGAACCTTAAAAAACCGACGATAGACCATGAAATTACATATATATTCTCAAAAATCACAGTCAACAAACGGTCAAATAGACAGAGGACCAAATTGTGTTAAAATTACAAAGTTAAGGACTTAATTGGGTGAAATTGAAAGTTGAGGACCAATTTGTGAATTTAGCTATAGTCGAGGGACCATTTTGGGTATTTACTCTTTTATTTTTTCTAAAGCTCTGAACGGTGACTTTCCAAAAAAAAAGAAAAAAAAAAGGCTGAGAGTTAGAAAGAACAAAGCATGGAGTGAGAGAAAAAACAAAGAAGAGAAGAAGTGAAGAGTTTGTGAATTTATTTGAGAGAGAAAAGGTTGGTGGTGAAATGAAGGGTTGCACGAGAAACGAAAATTTATTTACAATGTAAAAAATTTAGGCAACCTTCCGCGACCCTTCTTTTTAAAGAAGAGTTTCAGAAAGTTTTTATTTTTATTTTTAAATTTACTCTCCATGACACTTTCTCCTAGTGAAATTTTTAAGTTTTTAAATTCCATTTTTTTTTTAAAGAAAGGGCATCCCATTTTTACAAAAAAAAAAAAAAAAAGGGTCACGGTTTCGTGTTCATTTATTTACGATTATGTCATAACACATTTTTTTTAACAATACACTACCCTTCTTTAAATAAGGGTAACCTAAAGTCACATTTCTTTGCTCTTTTTGTCCTAGTGTCAAATTGAGTTTTTCGTAGGACCGAATCAAGCCTTGTCATGGTGAGACCACTAAAACTATGTTCTACCCACCCGTAAAAATATGTTCTGCCCACCCATAAAAACATGTTCTGCCTACCATGTACTAAAACCATGTTCTATAGTGGTGGGACCACTAAAACCTCAATCGTTATGCCATGGAACCATGTTCACCATCCATGGTGAACACGGTCCCAACGGTAACGGTGCACCGTTATCTTTTTTTTTTTTCTTTTTTTCTTAATTAACTGCACGACTTTTCTTCTTCATTTTCACATTTCGCGGTTTCACTTCCTCTTTGCGCAAGTTTCTTCAACATTCATAAATTATGAATGTGCAGGCATGGATTTATGAATGTGCAATTATGAAATTATGAATTTTCTTTTATGAGATTAAGAATTTTCTGTTATGAAATTATGAATTTTTTGTTATGAGATTATGAATTTTCTGGTATGCGATTATGAATTTTCTGGTATGCGATTATGAATTTTCTGGTATGCGATTATGAATTTTCTGTTATGAGATTATGAATTTACAGAAAATTCATAATTATATAACTGTAAATTTGTAATCTCATAACAGAAAATTCATAATTTAATTAATGTTTTTCTTTTATGCGATTATGAATTTTCTGTTATGAGATTATGAATTTATAGTACATTCATAATCTCATAACAGAAAATTCATAATATGAACAAACGTGCACCGTTAACAGCACATTAACAAAATTTTTTTACCCCTAAAAACGACATCGTTTGGACCCGTGTTCACCATGGATGGTGAACACATTTCCAGGGCATAATTTGCGCTAAAACCTTGTTTTGAACCATGCCACCCACTATAAAATAGGGCTCCATTTACACCCGTTTTCAGCATCCTAATATGTATATCTATATCCTTCTCCCACATGAATTATGCACAAAGATCAAAGCTTATGGCTATAAATCTTGAATCGTATGTGTTTTTTTTTTTTTTTTTTTTGAGTGTTTTCTTGTGAGGCACACAATTGATAAAGCTTTCTCCTTTATTTGCTTTATGCTTTTTTTTTTTAATTATTATATAAAATTATAATGCTTTTCCATGTTACACAGGTGGATATAACATTTGCAATGTAACAATTAAAACCGTTGTTTGGATCATATTGTATGATGATCGTATTTTGAAATTTTGGTACCACATAAATTGTGTCTTTAGGAATGTTTAGCACGTATATAGAAAGTGGGTTCACTTGAACAATGGCATGTGACATATTTAGCACTTAATTAGTGAGATCCACTCATACCATATTCTATCAGGGACCTACTCAAAATTATTGTGTTTTGTATCGGGATTATTAAAATTGTGACATGTAGCGTGGGGTTCTTAAAATAATGTTTTATAGTTGTGTGCCTCACTCAACCTGTATTTTGCCAGGAGATCCACTCAAATCGTGTTTTGTATTGAGATTTTTAAACTCATGCATTGTAGTGGTGAGCCATACTCAAATAGTGATTTGTCAAGGGACCACTCAAATTGTATTTTTTTATTGGGATTCTTGAAGTCGTAACTTGTAGTAGGTTTTTCAAACTGTGTTTTGTCGGTGTGAGCCCCACTCAACCTATGTTTTGCCAAGTGATCCAATTAAATCATCTTTTGTATTGAGTTTCTTAAAATCATGCTCGGTAGTGATGGGCCCCACTCAAACGGGATCTTGTCAGGGGACGCACTCAAATCATGTTTTGTATTAAGATTATCCAAATCATATATTCAATTACACTATATAATATTTGATGTTCTAATTTAAATAATTATATATCAGTCCAAATATTCTTAATATAATACAACAAATTCATTCTGTGCATCATACGTGCGAAAATACTAGTATTTTAAAATTTTAAAATCCTAACAATTATGGCATTTTTCTTACTTAATTCTTCTACTAATATGGTGATCTAATTACTTCTTCCCCTAACTAGTAGGTGCAGCCGCGCGATGCGCGGCTATATATATAGTATGATATATATACAGTATAGAATATAGTTATTTGAACCTGTAAAAATGTGAAATGAAAAGTTGTGATTTTATTACACATTGATGAATATAGTAATTTTATTATACATTAAGGGACACTACCTATATAGTACATAGAATATTACGTATAATATAATAAGAATAAGAAACATAATAAGAAACGTATTATTTAAACAAATACTAAATTTTAAATAATAAATTGTTGAATGTTATTATACATTATTGAAGACTTCTTTGTACACAACATTTTTAGTCGTACTAAGACATGGTACACTTTCCCCGCAAATCAAAATTTTCAAACCCCTGGGGTTACTAAATCTTGAAACAGCTACGTATCGTTGTCCATGGTTAAAGACCGGTTTTTTCAACAACAACCCAACTTTAGCAAGCGTTTGTCCTTGACTTTTGTTGATTGTCATGGCATAGGATAGCATCAAAGGAAATTGCTTTCGTTGAAATTTGAAAGGCAATCTTGGATCTGACGGTGTAAGTGACATCCTAGGAATCAATACTCTGGTTCCTGCATTTGTGCCGCACATGATTTGGCCTTCCAACACATGGTCAGCCAACCTTGTAACAATCAACCTTGTACCGTTGCATAATCCTAATGTGTGATCAATATTTCACAATAGCATAACAGGTGATCCAACTTTCAATGTCAATGCATGATTTGGTACTCCAGAACATCTCAAGGTACTCAAGAATTCGGGAGTGTGCAAATCCGCTAACATGTCAACATTGGCATCTGACTTACACACAGAATCACAACTCAAGTATGTCTTACCCTCAGAAGGATTATGATCATTCATGTATTGGTTAACGGCATCTACCACATCCAATGTTGGAGCTAAAATTGCACTATGATTAAGATATGACAAATCGGCAATTCCCAGTCGGAAATTGGGGAAAGTGCTATCAACAATTGTAGCAATAGGGTCATCTTCACACTTCAACAACAAATCTTCTGGAACAGTAATCTCTGACTCCCCCCTCAAGTTGACACCCAATAATTCCATCACCTATATTAGCTATCCATTTTGCAAATTCCTCGATCTCCTTGCACTCGTATTCTGATTGAACACTCTTCAAACGTAGATTCTTAGTCAACCTTAGGACTTTACAGGATTTCCATAGATAGGATGAGCTAATGCTCGCTCGAACTATATCCGGTCTAGTACCCTTTGGAATGACTGGTAAAATTTGCCTGAAATCGCCCCCCAAAACAACTGTCTTACCACCGAATGTCATATCAGAACTCATTGGATTTATGAAGCGCATCAAATCCCGCATAGTTCGATCCAGGGCTTCAAAGCAGAATTTATGCATCATTGGGGCTTCGTCCCATATTATCAACTTTGTTTGCACAAGAAGTTCTGCCAGTTCACTGCCGTTACGTATGTTGCATGTGGAATCTTCATTAACAAATATCGGTATAGCAAACCGAGAATGTGCCGTCCTGCCACCAGGCAATAAAAGCGAAGCTATGCCACTAGAAGCAACATTTAACACTATTTGACTCTTAGACCTTAATGCGGAAGAAAGTGCTCGCCACAAGAAAGTCTTACCTGTCCCTCCATAACCATAAACGAAGAATAACCCCCCTTCCTGGCGATCCACGTCATTTAACACTTCATTGTATATTGCCTTTTGTTCGTCTGTTAACTGCCTTTCCAATTCTTGATTCTCTTTCTCCTGTTCGCCACAATCGTATGCTAATTCTTCTTGAATAAACCTATTTGCAATAATGTTTAACGCACCAAAATTTGCCGTTGGCATCTCAGGATAGTCCTTCAAACTCTTACCATGATTAGATAATAGCTTCTCAATCTCTACTAAAGCAAAGTTCATTTTATGCGAATCGGTCAACACAAAATCTGCATAAATATATATTAAAATTTGATTTTATAACAAAAGTACGTTAAACTTGACTTAATATTTTTTTAAAAATGTACGATTACCTCTGTTCTGCAGTTGTCTACGGACGTTGAATTGTGCATCGTCTGATAGATGTTGCCAAACGGCATGCCAAACTATTTCCGGTTTCCCCATGCAACTGCTCATTAGCAATGTCACAAACAATCTCCTCAATTGATCTGCTGACGCCCAATGACTGGCTTCATTTATTGCATCAACATATTCGTTGTCATCATCACCTAAACCCCTTGCATAACACGCATCTCGGAATGAGTCATATTGCACCCCATTTGCAGTCCTAATATCTTCATAACTTTTAGGGCCGCGGACTTTGTTCAGCAAACACCTCAAATAGAAAATTTCACCAGTAGCTGGCGGGACATAGAATATACTTCCTATTGAGAACCCTTTCTTTCGTGGCTGCCATTTTCTAAGGTCTTTCTTCCAAACGAATCTTGTTGGCATCTCAACATAAGTAAGCTCTCTCGCATCGGTGTATGTTTTATTAGCTTCAAACCATTCTAAAAACATGCTCTGTGCTATCGTAGGTCTATTCACAATGTTCTCAACAGCATCATCATCTGCAAATATCACACTCTGTTGATTAGGAAGGTGATGAAAGCTTAACCTTTCCACCGAAGGCGCCCGAAGTTGTATATCAAAACCAAACAGACGCCAGACCGCTTCACACGGGGATATGTACCTACAATCATAGTACATATTTATCTCATCTATTGCTTTGTCATTCTCTTCATCATTGCATCTTTTGTAAAATTCGGCGGTTACCCGATCATGACCCTTGTTAACATACTTGAACAGGTACTTGATTGACCGTGACTGGTTGCACCACTCGACATTTATATGAGCCTTGTACTTGAGCAATAAATATCTATTGTGCGGTACCACATACCTGTTGTCAAGGCGATCCCGTTCTTTGTAACTACACTGCCATTGTCTCTCCTTCTATATAACGGGTAACCATCATCATCAAATGTAGAACTATCAACAAATCTCTTAGGAAAATGTTTAGAGCATCGCCCATTTACCATACATGGAGAATTGGTCCTCACTTTTCCACATGGACCATGCATCATAAATTCCTCTACCGCTTGGTAATACTCTGCATCTTTTTTTTCATCTGGAATCTCTGCGCAAATTATGTTGTCTAGAGTAAGAACTTGCCTAACTTCTTTACTTTTCTCCAAAAAAAGTAATATATGAGCATGTGGAAGACCTCGCTTTTGAAACTCAATTGTATATATGACTGCAACAACATAGACATAAACATCATAAGATTAAGTAATTACATAAAATTGTATCAAAATTGATTTAAAATAAAAGGACAAAATATTACCTCCAGCCACAGGGCCAAATAGTTTATTCTTTCGACAATCAGCTATCAAAGCATCCAACTTAATCTTGAATAACCGGCAAATAATGTCCGGCCGATCTTCTGGCTTCAACCTTTGGTCTTTTAAAAAGCGTTGCACCTCAGGCCACTTCGGATTGCATGTAAAGGTTATAAATAAATCTGGGTATCCAATCCATCTACATATTGCCATTGCATCTTGGTAGTTTTGTATCATGTATCTAGCACCACCCGTAAAACTTGAAGGTAGTATTATTCTGCGACCTTGGGCTGCAGGGCTTAATTCACCCCTTGTCAAAGCATCAGTCAATCCACTATAACTCTCACACCTTAGGCTTTTTTGGTGTGTCCTTATATTAATCAGTCTTCCAGACTCAACCATTGTGTAGCCATCTACAACAAATTGTTGGAACAACCGCTTTGCAAATAATATGGTACTCGGAGCTGACGGTCTAGACTGTATGCGGTAGCAAAAAAACTCCCTGGGACTAATCCTCTGCCTACCACCTGAAGAGCGCTTGCCTACAACGTCCGCGAATGAAATGTCTTCCCGATAACCGTTTTCGCCATATGGAAACAAAATAGGGTATTGCAGCGGCAAGTATGAAGGATTTAATTCACTTATCCTCTGTAGGTGGCCACCCTTCGATTGAACAATAATATCACGCTCTCCAATACTGGTATCCAGATCTCCCACAATTAACGCTGCTACTTCTGAAACTTGCGGCAGATTATAGGTCCTCGTATCTCTATTTCGTTTTCCCAACAACTTGATTTTGACCTCGGCGCATGGATTAATATCCAACTCAGACATAGCCATCCGAAAAGACTTAACCAAAACATTATTTTCATCGAGGTCTTTCTGAATGACATTCACTATTTCTACATGAATGTCATCTTGCTCACCACTACCCCTACAACAACAAAAACTTGATATATATAGTTGTCAAGATAAAAAATAGTATTTAATGATTAGTATTAACACGCAAACTTTTTTACCTCACAGCATTGATACGGTTGATCTTTTCATTTGCCGTGTCGTATATATATAACTGGGCAAAATGCGGTTCTTTGCCTTGTTCTGGAAGTAGAGTGCCCATGAGGTGATAGTTTTGACCACTTAATCGAAAAATTGGAGGTGCTCCCCCCTTGTTCACGCTCTTGTCAATTTTTCCTCCCATGGATGTGAAGCAGAACATGTTGTTGTAGGTCCTAATGTTGTGTAGAAATTCTTTTGATAATTCGTCATTGCCGAAAAAGAGATCAAATATACATTTTGGTGGCAACTTATTCTCCGGCAACTTGATCTTCCCATTGTTGCAACACAACATAAACAGTGGAGATGCTTTTGTTGACAAATTCTTTTTCCTTTCTTCAAACCAAAACAAAGCCCCACAATGGACGCATTTATTTGTTGCATCACCAAAATCGCAGTATTGACCTGAAACAAAATATATACAAAATGAAATACTGATTGATATTTTAAGGAGTTATAAAACAAATCTACATACCATGTTGTGGACCAGAGGATGTCCCAATATCGAAGTTTTGCCTATCATCGTTTCTCGATATATTTGCATCTGAAATTAGAAATACATTTAAAAATCAATTTTAATAGTTTAAGGTTTGCATATGTACTTTACTTATAGTTGTTTCAATAACCAGTAGAGTATCTTCTTACCAGGTATGTACGTATTTGGTGCGTCGATCATTGTAGGGTTACATTCACCTTCAAAGGCAGATAGCAAGTCTCTTGTTGTTACATGGTCATCGACAATTCCATATTTATTCCATGGTTTACGAATTGCCAATTCATCTTGTGTTATCGTCGATGCAGGATTTTCTTTATCTACCAAAACAAATGGCTGGCAATTGGTTGCACCGATCTGTGTATTGGACGAACGTACTGTACACATACGTAATATTAGACAAATTTAAAGTATAACAATATAACAAAATAAATTATAGAAGTCTTAATATTATAAATTAAGTACACCTAACATCTACATTATGCTAGCCTAGAAAATGAAAAAGTAATTTGACGGTATAAGTATCATATTTTAGTGGAAAACTTATTAGGTAGACCATGGTCCACAAAAATCTGTGCACCATAAATAGAATTAGAATGAAAAAGTATATTTCACTAAGTACAAACCAACAAATTGATTACACATAATAAAAGAAATTTAACTATTTTAACGAAAAATTAGAAATTGATATTAAAAAGTAAATCATATGAAGACAAATTAGTGAAATTACAATTCCACACTGAGTTCTATGGACCATGAATTACATTATAATTAAATTTACAATGAATGTATATCAATTAATCTTAGGGGATTTACTGTTGGTGATGTTACTCAATGGTGCGATATTTTCAGACAAAAGTAAGGATTAGTTGTCGTACGTTGGTCTTTAGCTTGGGCAGCATTATTCGTAAAAGATGAGTTGCCGAAATAATTTGCTATGATATAAAATATAACATTAAATTAAGAAATAATTCCAATAATTTATACTCGAAACAAATTAGTAGACATAACATAAATATTTGTTCAATTGCACAACATTAATATGTAATCGAATAGAATTAGGTAGACCATGGTCCGAAGAAATTTGTGCAAACTAAATAGAATTAGAATGTAAAAGTATATATCATTAAGTACAATCTAATCAATTAATTACACATAACAAAAAAAAATGTAACTATTGTAAAGAACAATTACAAATTTATATTATTAAACATAAATTACATTAAAAATATAACATTTAATTTGACAAACATCGTTTAACAATTAAAACTATAAGGATATTTAAATTCACAATGAATGTATATCAATTCATTCTCGGGGATATACCATTACTGATGTTACTGAATGGTGTGATATCTTGAGACAGACAACCGCCCCCCGGAATTTGGGAAGGAATATTTGGCGTATGTTGGTCTTTACCTTGACCAACATTAGTCCTTAATGATGAGTTGCCTAAATAATTTGCTGTGATGTAAAAAAAAAAAGTTAGAATACTATAATAGCAACAGTAATTACAACAGTTAAAATTGTATAAATTAATCACACCTAACGCTATTAATTATGTTAGACTATAAGTTGAAATTGTAATTGCTATCAATAAGAGTTACCTAATAAGTGGACCAATTATTAGGTAGACCATGGTCCACATAATTTAGTGCACAATAAATACCATTAATTAGAAAGTATAAATCATTAATACCAATCAAAGTATTATTGTGATACTAAAGTATTCCATGTACATTGGTATGATACATTACTTACATTATAATTATACAATTTAATTTTACAGTCAATTTGTGCACCTAATTAAAAAGATAAGGTTTTTTAAATTAAAAATGAAGGTATATGAATTCAACTAAGGGGATTTACCGTTAGTAATGTTACTCAATGGTGTGATGTTTTGAGACAAACACCCTCCAAAAGGAATGCGGGAAGGATTTATTCTCGAAGGCTGTTGTTTTCCTTGAGCAGAATTATTCCTTGTTGATGAGTTGCCCAATTCATTTTCTGTAATATAAAATCTAACATTAAAATAAAAATTAATTCAAATAAAAAAAATTCGTAAAAATGAATTACACATAACATAGTTCAGAGTACACCAATAATTTATAATTGTTTAAGATTTGCGTAACACTTATGACGAAAGTAGTTGCTGTGACACTAAACACACCTAACGGATAATATACTTATGGTAGCCTATAACCTGAAATTGTAATTGATATAAACAATAACCTGCCGCAAGTTTACTGGACAAATTATTAGGTATAACATGGTCCACAAAATTGTGTGCACAATCAATATCATTACAATGAAAAATAATATATCTAATTAATTACACATAACAATCACACCATTAAATAATATGAAGACTATATATATACTTATTAATTTATATCTATAAACTATTTAAATCTATTTATCTATTTATATAACAATATATATATATATATATATATATATATATATATATATATATATATATATATATATATATTAATATATAATATTACGGAGTATATGTTTGTTCGGTCAGAATAACATCTGAGAAGAGGAAGAAGGGTGAATACCCTTCTCCTTCGCCTTTGTTCGAACAGATCTGTTCTTCACCCTCTCAAAACTCACTTCCGATCTCTCTCTGTCTCTCCTAAATCTAGATCAGTGCTTAGTCGTAATCTCGGTTTCAACTGCTCTTACTGAACATTGTTTCCGGAGAAGTCTTAGTCTGGTCTAGATGAGCATCTCCCCGATTCTCAGTACATAATCGCGATCTTTCATTTCCGTGTGTGAACAAAGAAAATTGAATTATATTTAGAAATTCAAAGTTCTGGTTTACATATCAAGTATCAATGCGGTGTGGGTACATGTCTCTGGATATCCTCTGATTCTTCAATTGGTGCCTTGAACACTCCACCATTGAAGGGCCTCCGGGTTTCAAGTGGCTTGATCTTCAAAGAAGGGCTTGTATATATAGCTTGTTCTTCTTGAAGGGCCTCCGGGTTCAAATGGCTTGATCTTCAATGGAGGTTTGGATCAATAGGCATAGGCAGATCATTATGGAGGAGAGACTTCTACTTTCAGTATCACATTTTTATTGTGATCCTGAATAATATTTTTCTAGATGTTTACATCACTTTTCCTAGGATGTGTGAGATTACATAGAAATGAGAGCTCCTATTTATAGCGGTAGGATAGAGAGTTTTGATAAGCTCAAACTCTTTTGATATTATCTAATTAACAAATTAGATAATATCAATATTATCCAAAATATTTCAAATATATTCAAATATACTAATATTGATAAATAATCAATATTTATCAAAATTTAAGTGTCTACACCGTGAAAGATCGTAGTGTTCAACCATAGTAAATGGTGGAAATCACGCTGCAGTGAACCTAATTTCCAACTACTAAGGTTAGTGTGCATTTAATTTCCAGTCAATTTGATTATGGTTCGGATTTATCAATGTTGTTTGTTCTAAACTTGATCTAATTTACTGGATCTAAGCATGCATATCGAGAATCATAGATAGAAGCTCTTAATTTCATATTTGTATGATTCATAGCAATTAGGGTTCTAAGTCGTATTCTTTGTAGTGTTGCTATAAAAACACACAATTGAAATTACTGTTAACTGTGTAAATATCATGTTCAAAATGCTATAGCTATATTCTGGTACACACAAATCCTAACCTGTAATCTACTCTATCATGTTGTTTTTCATGGACATACTAGAATTATTTGAGGAGATGGAGAAGACAAACAAAATCGCTAGGCAAGAGGGATGCTACAATGAAGCTTTATTTTAAAATGAAAAAGATAAGTTTCGAACATACCTTTATTTTCTTCACTTGGTTTCCTTTTGATGCCTATAATTGTTGACTTAGTGATTTTCCTCATTGCACTGTCTATTGTGTGTACTTGAAAATGTCTTTGTGAATTGTCTATTTGGCTGTGGTCTGAAACTGGAGAACTGTGTTGGTAGTTAGATGGGGCATCTTTCTTTAGATTGGTTCATTGTAGTTTACTTAACTTTTTGCCTTGATTTCGAAAATAGGATTGGAACTGAAGAGTTTTCTGTTAATATTAATGATAGCTGTCCATCAATTATATTTAATGTTTAGGGAATGTGTTTCTTTCCCTAAGAATGATTAACTTTTACTTAACAGGCCAATAATTCCATTGTCTTAAATTTCTTTAGATAATTGGTCAGAACATGGAACACACAGATTGATTCTTTGGTTCTAAAACTCTTCAAGATTCTCTGTTATGGCAGTCTATCAAATTATTTTTCTAATTAAAGTAGATTCTCAGTTTTTTAGTGAACACAGTAATGTTAATTACTTTTAAAATTCAGAATTTAGGTGGTGTTATCTACTTTCTTTCTAAATGTGCTAGCAAATTTCTTATATACTGGTGTTGTTATTATTTATTCTGAACACAAATTCTAACTTTTTTATTTGTTTTTTTATTCGTTTTAGAACAAAATTATCCAAGCTGTGGAGTAATTGAAGAGCAGCAAGCAGAAAATAAGCACTATGGTCATATTTGCAAATAGGTTAAGACTCTATCTTGATTTACCTTACTTTAGATGACTTTGTATTGTTATACTTGCATAGTTTGTAAGTTTGTTCACTTTAGTTTGTAAGGCAATATACAGTTTGATTTAAAAAGACTTTTTTCAACAAATGGTCATCAAGTATAGACCAAGTTCATCTTTTTTTTACTTTCATTTTTGTCAATTTGTTTAGATAGGTTGTAAGAACATTGAACACATACATACATTTATTATTTGATTCTACTCATATTTAATTCTCTGTTATGCCAGTGTATCCTTTTCCTCTTATTAAATATTCTGAACACAAATTCTAACCAATTTTTTTATTTTTTTTGTTATTCTTATTAGAATGAAATAATTCAAGCTTTGAAGAAATTGAAGAGCAGCCCGCAGAAAAAAACCAATCAATGAAAGACCACTAAAAGCAATATGGTCATATAAGCAAATAGGTTAAGACTTTATCTTTACTTGCCTGTCTTTAGATTAGTTTGTATGCATATACTTGCATAGTTTGTAAGTTTGTTCACTTTACTTTGTAAGGCAATAGACACATTAAATAAACAAAGACTTTTTTCAACAAATGGTCCTCTACTTCTTTGATATCTGGATCAGTATAAAACTAATGCAAAAAGTTTTCCATTACTTGCTTTGACTTTGGTGCATTGTTTGGTTCTATATAAGTATAGAACTCACTAATGTTAACACAGTAATGTTAATAACTTTTTTTTTCTGTTTGGTCAAAACTGGTATAACTATTTTGTATATATCATAATATTCTTTAAATGTGTTTTATTGCAAGCAACAACTTTGTTTTTTTAATATTAGATACATT